GGGGGTGGCCCGTCCAGCGCTGGGAAAGGCCCGTGGGGCTGAGGCCTGGGGCTTGTTCCAGCCGCGAGGGGCAACGGGAGCACAGACACTGCCCCCCCGCCGCGGGGAGACCGAGCGGGCCCGGGGGGGGTTAACGGTTATTACGGTTATTACTCAGAGACGGGAAAGGAGAAGCAGACACGGTCCAGGGTTTGCCTTTTATTGGGACATGAGTTTCCTCTTTTTGTATAACTTATCTAATTAAAATATTCATCTTCATTACCACAAAAAAAAGGAACATAGAAAATTGTATATACACAGTTGGGGACCAAAATACAAATGCAAGTCCCGGTCACTCCCCCTCCTGCCCCCATCCCTCATCCTACCACCAGCAGGTCGGCGAAGAGGGAAGATGCAGCAGCTCCGCTCAGCGCCTCCGTGCGTGGTGTAGCACAGAAACACGGGAGCAACGGCTTTCACCCAAGACTTTGCTTCATGTTTCATAGAAGTAACCCCCCTCTCTTCCTGGCTGAGGGCTGCTGCCCCCTCTTCCAGCTTCGCAGCTTTAGTGTCTGAGCAAGAGGCAGGGGAGGGAAGGGAGAGTGGCTGGCATCAGTCCCAGGACCAGTGGGACCCGCTCAGCACTGACTAGAGTCCGTTCAGACACAGCATCCCACCTGATCCTCTCTGTACCCTCTCCGCCTGCAATCCAGCCAAGCTAAAACACAGACACAGCTGGCAAAGCCGAGAGCAAAGAGGCTGATCCAGGAGAGAAGGTACATCATCCCCTAACAGCAACGCTCTGGGCAATACCCACAGCCCAGTATCAAGCTCTGGTATTAATCAAGTGGCAGTTTAGCAGTGCCCAAGACTTCTTGGGGCCTCACCCAGGTCCTTTGCTCAAGGCTCTGCTACAGCCTGAACACAATGCCAGACTCCCCTCCCCTCTGCCCCTACCCCAAGTACAGAGGAGAAATAAATGGTAGCACAACGATCAGCAGAAGATAATATATTGTTATCTAATTAAAAATACAGCAAAAATTAAATACAGCAAAAATGCAAGAGTAAGGAGCCATTACTTTACAGCACAACACAGACTGAAATGCTGCACGGTAACATTAAAGCATCTGGGACTGTAACAAACTTACAGCACGTGAGAGT